TTTATCTTTGTTGACAGTCAGAATATAAACCAAACCAAGCCTCTTACAAAACCTGAATGGCCATGAGCTCCAAGGGCATCATTTAGCCTCATCTTCAGGGGGTTGAGCAGGAGAACGTTTGCTTGCATTCATAAATTATTTTGCAGATAGCATAAGCCACAACAAATATATTGCTCTCATGGTGAAATCTTTCTCTTTCATGATATTTATGTTCCTGAACCAAGCACTATTTAAGTACCAATTAGTGTATTCTGTGAGATGAGGAAAAACAGAGAATGTTCTCTTTCCTCTCTTTTTCTTCACAGAGGAACAGTGCCACTCCACTGCTCTTATGTCAGCATCCCATAGAGTTTCAGCCCTAAATTATTCTGATACCTGTCCAAAGATGTAGTGATGGGAATGGATTTACTAGGTAATTTTGACATCAGACTTCATCTAAGTCTTTTTTTTTCCATGTTATTCTCATCAAAAGGGAATACCCCCCCCCCCCACTGAGATGAACATGAAAACCCTTCAGACTGCTTTTATACTCCAAGTCAAAGTTAGACCAGAAAATATAATAGGAAGCATTTTTCAGTCTAGCTGCAAAAGGAGATGCTGTGCTTAGGATCTTTGTTATCTTCCAAAGCAAAACTTTACGAAACATTCATTGTTGAGGCTGGTATTTTCTTTGCTTGCTTTACTGACATTTTTAACCAACAGCTATGGCAATGTAAGACTGCTCTGCTCCAATGAATTTTTAATTCTCTGCCTTTCTGCATAGTAAAAATGTGTCTGTCTTTTCAGGACTACATTTCTGTCTTTGTCTTTTTAGAAAATCTGAACAATGGCATCATTTTACTTGTCTTTTTTTTGCCTTGAGACAAAGCTATTAGAAACACGTCTGTTTTAAGCTTACACATAGCCATGCCCAGATTCCCAAACTTGATTGTGCAGCTTGTTGAAAGCAGTGCTGGTGAAGTTTATGTTTTCTGGTGTCAAATAATTTTATTGTAGGCTGCTCTTGCTTAAAAATGCATGTGCATAAAGAAAAAAATGAAGACTGCTTTTTGCTCTCCTTCCAATCACTGTGGCTTGGGCCACTGCCTTTAATGGAATTAGGCTCTGATGCATATAAAATACAGTTCAGTTTTGCAACCTGATTGTTTGGATCCAAGACTTCTAAAACTTAAGGTTGGCTTGGTTACATTCCCTTCATGATATTGTCGTAAGACTTTGTTAAACAACACATTTGGCTGTTAGTGCAAGTCAAAGTTGAACTATCCAAAATACACTTTTAAGTTGAACATCAGATGAACTTTAATTTTTGAAGTGCATGTATTTCAAAGAATACTGTTTCACTGTTTGGTTTAACTGAATATCTCATGTTGTATAATATGCATTAATATGTTAATATATATTTACCTATTGCCTTTGGATCTTAGTCAGAATGTTAAATGTCTGAATCCTGTTTGCCATTTTTTATACCTTTCAATTGGTTAACATCCAGAGGACACTTTAATCAGTGCTGACTCAGTGAGCAAGAAAGCTTCAACACAGTGTGTCTCATCTTGACTCAGCAAGATTTCCAGCATTCTTATTTATACATTTTTCACAGGATACTTCCTAAAGAAGCATTTGCCTTTTGAAGAACTACACCCACATAGCTTTAATTTTTCCTGATGCCTATCAATATCATGATCTTTATTAACAAATTCAAATTCAAAATTTCAAGAAAGCTGTCCAAGCTAGTTCTTGCTCATTTCTTACATAGAAGGATATCTACAAAAACACAGATGCTCAACAGCATTTTAATGGATGTGTGTATTTGTCTATATATATGTATCCATTTCATACCAAGACAGATTAGCAGATTAGAGACAAAATAAAATGAAGGAACTCTAACAAGAATCTGAGCTCTGACTGTAGGGATCAGTGCAACGGATTTAACTTACACTTTCAGAACTTCCCATAGCTTAATATAATAATAAAGTCTTGCTGGCTGCCTTTTATGTTACTGCAAATAGCATAAACCACTTTCTATTCTCCATAGATGACCGATGCCAATGTTTTGCAATCAAATTGCAATAACTAAATGTATATCAAAGATGCTTATTTTAGCCCCTATGCCTTTGTGTAGATTTTAATTCATAAGTCCCAATGCCAGAAAACTCAAGACTTGAACGTGGAACAGTGGCAGGATATGATCACCTTTCACCATATAAGACATACAAATATTTAACAGCCTTGCAAAATTGCAATGACAACTTCTCAGCCTAGGAAGACTATTTATCCACCCTTTACCTGAGGAATGATAGTACTTTAAAAGAAAATAATGAAAAAAAAAAAAAAAAGCCTACTATGAGCAGGTAAAATTTTGGACGTCAAATAGTGAAACGTGTGCTTGATTATGGATATAACGCATGGAGAATGGGCTGAATTAGAATCTTGAATGCAAAACTCCATTCTACATTAAGGAACAAGTCTAACTTTGTAATATCATAAACATTTTTCTACCCCTCTGTTTGCATTTACCGATAGGACCATACTCCTGGAAGAAAAAGTCCAGTAGGAACTAGCTTACAGGATTTTGAGCTATAATTCTTTACACATGCACACACCTCTCCCCACACACATATATAGTGACTATAATTCAGGAAGCATAATCTTTACAAATTGTATTTATCTGAGTATTGTTGTTCCACTTTATTTTGCAATACTTATGAAACATTACTACATTTTGTTCAAATCAGCTGAGAATATAGTAATGGAAATACCTCTTTTTCTCTTTCTTTCAATAGGCAGCTTAGTAAAAACTTGCATTAAGTAATTGGAATTTTATTTCAAGTAGTGAAATGGTTTTATTTAAGTTTTGGAAGAAGCCCTTTGGAAGAAGCTAAAGTCTGGTTTTGAAGAAATTGAATAGGCAAGCTGCTTAGAAATCCATTGTTATGTATCTCAATCAGGAATTGAAAATAATAATAAAAAAGAGTGTTTACAGGTCTGATTCCATTTTTTTTTAAATCCTTTATATCATCCTGTCTTCTGTGCTGGAACTTACTTCAATTGGAAGTGGAATTCACTTCAAAGACAGCTCTTCGCCCAGACAGCTTGTTCTGTTATGCTCATAAACTGTAAATTTAAAAACTGAATATTGCTTCCGATAGCTAATTGAAGGATACAGCATTCTTATCCCTACAGCTGTGTACAGATCACATCCTCCAAAGCTTAGTGTGCCCCAGTAGGGACATTATAGAACAACAGGGCTGAGAGGATATTCCATGTTTTTTCTCTGAGGCAGGTTTAAGTACACTTATATCAGCCCTGAAAGGTGTTTTCTGAACTGTTTTTGAAAACCTTTAATGAAGATTTCAGAACCCTCCTTATCCCAGCTTATGGGTATAAGTATTTTCCTTTCATATCCAATCTAAATATTTTCTGACTACTTCAGTTTACTTTTCTGTCCAATATGCAAATCAGAGTCCTTAGGCATTTGCACCCCATATGCCTGAAAGAAGAGGCAAATACAAAAGCTAATGTTTAAAGGCATTTATCACTGCAGATAGGCACCTAGTAGCATGATGAAATCTATGGGAGATGATGAACAAGTCAAATTCAGTGGGAGTTGGCTGGGTACAAGAAGTATCTTCCAACTAAAACAAAGAAATGGGAGAAATTGAGCCTGTGCTGTCCAATATTCTTCTCAGCACTTCTCCAGGGACACAGCAGCTATGTACTGTTTTGTAATGTGTCCTAAAGTTCATGCTGTCAAACGCTATCATGCTGAAATTCACAGTGAGCTAGGGAAATCAGCAAAAGCTCTATCTTTAAATACCCTGGGATCCTAGGCAGTAGTACTTCAAAACTTCCTTTTCCTCAAGAGTTCTGCATCTATCATGATTCACTCTGGGACTCTCCAATGAACTCAGAAGAATTTCTGTGTATAAGTGAACCAACATTTACATTTAACATTTTTAAGAAAGAAAAGAAATGAGTATGTGTATCACATACACTGTTCACGGGAAGAGCTTAGTTATGGAAATGAACAAGGTATGACATAGTTAAGTTTGGCAGAAAAAAAAAAAAAAGGTATGCAAATGTGTTGGCAGTTTCATTAAATAAAAACACTTCAACTGTCCATGAAATAGAAAGGAAAAATCTTTCCTTTCCCTCTCAAAGACTTAAACCAACTTTAATTTACAGTATATGTCTATTATTAAAAAGATATTTGGAAATAAAAACAATTTTAAGAAGGGCAAGGACTTTCTTGCTGTAAAAGCAGAAACAAGAATTTAACAAACCCCTTTACATGAAATATTTGTCACAAATTTCATTTTTCTTTACAAAATTAACAAAACCTGTAGGAAACTCAAGGTTCTGCTGCCTACAGCATGTGTTTGCTCAAATCAATAGCTATTGTTGGTGCTTTTAAATCATCATGTTTTGTATAATATACACATTTTAAAAAGGATCCCACAAAATAATTTGTAGTTATACAAATGTGCTAGATATACACATTAAAAGTGTTTAACAAGCATATTCTTTTTGTTTGGAGTATTAAATTAACAACTTCAGGCCTTGATTCAGTTTCTGTTTGCGCAAAGAGCTCTCACAAACTGATCAGAAGTCTTGTTTAGGTCTGTAGGAGGATGGTTCCATAAAGGTGATTTATATACTTCTATCTAAAAGAAACTGTCATTATAAGCAATCAAACAAAAAATGGTAACAAAAGAAAGAAACCCAAACCTTTTAATGGCATAGCAGTGGCTAAATAATTTCCCCCATGTTAATCCTATTGTAACATTGTTGGGGATATAAGGATTTCTATATCATGGCATGGTCTGAATTCAACTGCAGTTGGTGAGAGGTTTCCTCTTGTCTTCTTGAATACTGAATCATTGCTAGGAATTTGTTCAAGTTTGACTAGGCATTTACTGACAACACAGTGTTCTCTCGTTTGTTTTTGATATCAGACATATTAAGATACACTGGGGGGAAAAAAAACACAATACAAAAAGAAAAAAAAAGAAAAAACATTTTACTAGATTTTTACATTTAGTAAATGGTACTTAAACTCCATGGACATGAAAGTAATTTTAAACTTTACCTTTGAAATTTTATCTTTTTCAATATTTCATAGAAAAGAAACGCTCTAAGATACCGTTCCAGACCACAGAATTATTACAGAACATAAAGAATATATGCAAGGGCTTCATCTTTTCCCAACAAAGATGAGAGCCAACCCCATTTAACTCCAATGGGAGAGGGGTCAGCTGAGAATGTGCCATGTTCCTAATTTCAAATCTCCTTTGTGATAAAAGAGTCAACAGCTTGGCGTATACTTTACCTTTGCAATTTGAATTCTATCAACAACTATTCCTAGCCACAAGAGAAATATTTTTAGCAATATATTTGTATAGTTTCACAAAACTATGTCAAAGAGAGATGTGTGGGTATTTGTGTGTGTGTATGGACATATGCATACTTATGAGTTTGGGATGATTTTCTTAAAATACTTAACTTCACTTACATTATATCTTACATTGCAAAATGTACAGACACCCAGTGTTCTTTTTTTAACAACATATACAGGTGAATTTATAGAGCCTTATAAAAGATTTTGTGATTCCAAATTAAAAACCATAGAAATATAATCAAAATAATGGAGAGTGATTTATACCTCTGATAGTACATAGCGCTCATTCTGGTAATATTGACAGCTGTATCTTTGGCATTGAAAATTCATTACAACTTTTAGACAAAATGTTGTTGCTTACAGCTTTTTTTTTTTTTTAAAACAAGAAAAAACAGGATTGCCCAAAATATGAATATTGGGGAAGTACTATTAAAGTTCTAATTTATTTTCATTTTAGCAAGGATAGTTTAGGAACCCTGAATTACCTTCTCACTTTAGTGTATGGTGTAGACTGTATGAATCCATTTAAAAATCAACTAAGTTGTACCATATTTTTCAGAAAATTATATATAATATAATATATATATTTTATATTTATTTAGAAGCTTTGAAATAGTACAGTAAACACTTTGCAACACGGTGTATAAACTACAGAATGTCTTTGATAATTTTGTGGGTCTTCAGATTAACAACATTTTTATGACCCACGGGTGAAAAGAACATGATCACAATCTCTCTTGTAAAGTTGGAATAGTTTGGGGAACACTCGATCACACAAAAATAATATAAAACAGTCAAGTTTAAAACAGTGATATTGCATTTATAATGCACATTTTTTTTATCTGTACGATTGGCTTCTTGTGGTGAATATAAACATCTAAAGGGCTCAGTGACATTTTGGAGAGAGAAAGATATATAGTGCTGTAAACAGGCACACACTGATCAGAGAGGCAAGATCAGTTGCCTCTGAAGTTCCTACAGTTCTACACATTTCAACTCATTTCTCAGGCCTGCTGAGAGCAATTAGGTCCTATTGTTGGCCATGATGTCTCCAACAGCACACAAATCCTTCAGTTACACAGAACTGGATGGCCAAGATAATGAAGTTGAAAGTTGATGCTTTTTGTTGGTCGACTTTTGTGCAAATCATGCTGCTTCAGGTAAGTCCTGTAGAAGTGACTAACATATCCTTTTCCGTGCTGCGGGAAAGAAAGAAAGACACTTCTGAGAGGAAAAAAAATAAAAAAATATATATATACATATATATATATATGTATAAATTAGTCTCCAACAGTTCTTAGGTTTAGTATTTCCTAAGAGAGTAGAGAAAAATTCAAAACTTGTCACAAATTGTTGCTTAAAATCCTCATGGTAGCAAACAGTTTAATGCTGATTCACTTTTCAGACAAAAGTCTTTTGGAGGCTTGATAGTCTGAAAACCAAACTTCACATGCTGCTTTATTATTCTGTCAGGCAGGTCATGCAAGTATTCCAATGTGCCTATACAGACTCAGTATAAGAACAGGGCAAGTAGCCAAACTTGCAGGTTCTATATTACTGGAATTTCCAAGCCTATTTTTTCTAGTTCAGCTTGTTATTTTAAGCCAGGTCTAGAAACCCCCAAAGATTCTGAAGTCAGTGTTCCTTCTCTTTCAAACTGAACCATTATCCTCATCACCAAATGACCCTTTAGTCTGGTTTGACAGACAAAAAAAAAATGGTGCATTAGTGCTACAATTCAAATTTCAGCAGTCAGGCTGGAAATTAACTCATGTTACACAGATGAAGAAGGTCAATGCATTAGCAAACCCATATCCTAATCCACCAGCTGCAGTAGCTTTATTACCTCAAGACACTGGCTATTTTAACTGTAATTGGGAGCAAAGGTAACAAATGATTTGTACTAGCATTCAGGAAGACGCTGGGTTAAATTCTGCTCTCAGTCACACATGAAGTTGGGACAAGGAACTAGCTCACACTGAAGCATTACTATCATCATCACCTTCGTTATTGTTTAATAAAGCTTGTAATAATAAAATCAGGTTTTACCTTAGCTCCTCAGCTAAATCCCTACCTGAAATTCAGTATATTTCTGTGCATGAAGTGTTACAACTGAAACATAAAGGAATCTTTAGAACAAATCCCTGAATCAAACCAGCCATGCATACATACTGATGCTTGCATGCTGACACACAAACACATCCATTCTCCGATCCATTTAACATAAATATATACATTAGCCATACTCATTCATGATATATATTCACCAGTAAACGTATGAAATGTATCTACAGTATCACAGGGAAGTTAAGACTACTTATGAGAACATGTTAACCTGGGTGTTTTATGTTTGTCTAATCTAGCCTGCCTATGCCACAGGAGGTACTAGAAAAATGGGGAAAACATTTCTGTATAATCTATCTGTTCAATACACAGACAATTGCCAGACGTGTTATTAACATTAAAACATCTAATATATTATGTTTGGGGTGTTTCGATTCTGTAGCACATTAGCAGCATAATTAAAAAGGATTTTTAAAGCTTTTGCAAGATATTTTTTAACATTGCACTTAAGGCTGAGATAAGAATCTTTATGATGTTTGGACAGAGTATATGATCAGACCAATCAAGTTTCTAGACATCTTTTAAAATATCTTTTTAAATATTACATGACACAATCATTCCAGTAATAGTAATAGCAATAACAAGGCTTGTATTTGATCCTTACAACTTTTTTACAAAAGTTCACTAATCACTTCTGTAAATATGCAAGTGCAGTAGTCTAGATTGATGCCTGATATTGAGGAACTCACACTGCAGTACAGGCACAGTAGGGCTTCCACGGTAGAAAACTATCCAGATAGGCAGCCAGGGCAATTGCTGTTTTTGTGCAGCACTACTGTCCTTCTGCTCCTGTCTGAAGCTGAGCATTGATGGTGTTGATGTGGAACTTGAGGTGTGCAGCAAAACCTGATTACAGTATTCTTTCAGATAATACAGAGACTGAGTTACTGGCTGTGTCTAGTCTTTTGCCATGCAAATTTTTTCATTTCTAAACTTCAGTTAATATGCTTATATGACATATTGGGCCATTTTATAACACTAAATATTAGACAAGACGGTGCAGAACACCTGCAACTTTTCCCACCAACAAAAATCATTGTCCCAAATCCCAAAATACCCTCTGCCTAACACATAAGATGCACTGGATTTCAAAGGCAACTTTTCTCTTTGGTGTTTTTTTTGGTATTTGCACAGAAATTCATGTGCAAGCAAATCTTTCCACCTTTACCTTTACACCTGTGTCTGTCTTTTTACAGATGGGGAATATAAACCAGAGAGGTTAAATGGAAAGGAGGATGGACTTAGCTTAAAACAGAGGGCAATGAAAGTTCTGACATCTGCTTCTGGCTCTGTGTGTGTGTGTGCATGCATACGTGTTCATAAATAAGCTTTAAGAAGAAATACTAAGCCTCTCTGTATCACAATTTCTCCATCTGTAAAATGGGAATAATATTGCTTACCTATCTCCTAGAGGTGCAGGAAGGTTTAAATCACTATTCTTTATAATCCACTTTGAGATCCAGAGATGGCAAGTGCTATAGAAATGGAAGTATCAGAGTCAGTGTAAGAGCTGGAACAAGAACACCATCATTTTTGGTGCCTAATATCTCCTCTGAGATCACAGCTCTCTCATCCCTATTTTATCTTCTGTTCCGAACTCTCAAAACTACTGCACAGGGAAGCTTCAAGTCTGTGCGAGTATGGGTACTAGTTAGAAAGAGGGGTTTAATAATAAGCAGGTTCATAATTCTGTTAATGACATTATATTGTTTGTACATATATTCTAATAGTATTTGAGGTGAACGAGACAATTAAAGAATCATAAGTATTCCAGTTAAAATTCTTAGGATACATGATTTGTTCTGTACTAACCGCTGATTCTTCCCCAAAGACCTTAACAAAAATTTTGAGTGTTACAGTAAGAGCACTTACTGCATAAAATTTATATGGAATTGCAATAAAAACTGGAAATAAAACCCAGCAAAAATATATTAAATTCATTTGTTCCTCAGTACACATTAGTAAGGTTCCCATTCAGCGAGCTAGTTCTGTGTAGACTGATGAGAGAAGACATGTAAGATATCACTGGCAGATGAACAGAAAAATAAAACACTAACACAGGAAACAGAAAAGAGAAAATGAAGTATGTGATGATTATTCCTAGCTTATGAATCGGAAATGAACAGAAAACACTGTATAGGCCTACTCTCTTTACAAATCTTCCTTTCCCCCTGTTGTGAATCATGCTGTTGCATCCAAAGTTGATGTCAGACTACTACTTTACAGCCATGAATACAGTCATATACATTTCCTCTTTTGGCAAACTCTAGAAGGGATTGCCTGTACTTGGAAGATTTTCAAAATCTCTGAATCAAAACCTTCTCCTGCTTAGTACTGCTACTTGATCTAACTGGGGCAGAGAGAAGGCCTACTGCTTTCTTCCACAGCTGACAACCGAAGCAGCAGTAGGAAACACATCCTATACCTTCTATAACAATTGTCACTTTTGCTCTATACTATATTTAAGAGATCCATAAACTCCCACAGCATTATATGTGCTGTAACAGAATGACTGCTGAGCTCCCCCAGGAGCCAACAGTCTAAAGATCCAAATGAACACCTGGGTAATAAAATCTCCAAAGTATATCAAGTGCCAGGAATGCTGCTGCTATTACAGAAATATTGCTGATCTCCATTCATTTTAGGAGAAAGACACTTGAACTGAAACCCCTCTCTTCTAAATCAAAGAAAGCCAACCAACAGGAGAACAGGGGGAAACGCCAGTACGTAAAGTGCCATCTTGCTATTTCAGATCCAAGTGCTGTAAGTTAGCACAGTATTTAAGGAATATTTGTCTTCATGTGGGCTTTCAGATATGGCCTTCTATGCAAGCACTCAATGCATTATGTTTTTTGTATGAGTCTCCTGTGAAAAATGTGTGCCTCCCTATGTCACATTTCTGCAGATCAAGTGGTCCCCATGCAACCCTGCAATTGATACAGAGATTAGTGGGAGGCTGTCATCTCCTCCACTGCATTCAGAAATATCCCAGGTATTCAAGCTTTACAAGGAATGCCTTTCTCTTGTAGTGAACAATAATTTAAAAAGGAGTTCACTACCTCAAGTACATTAGGGCAATGTTGTTCTTTAATTAGCATTATTAGTTTTCACACTATTTTTATGGTTTGGTTTACAGTCTATATGTTAAATGTAGCTGATAAAATACCGCCCTTCACTAAGTCCCATTAGCTTTGACAGAGAAACAGACTATTCTAGTGACAACCAACAGGCTGAAAATTCAGCAATCTTATACCAATTGAATAGAGACTGGGACTTAAGTAGTGGTAAAAGATAATCTATATGAAATAACGTGGAGCTCTAGTTCAGATCAGCAACTACATTTTTGGAAAGAGTTCAGCAAGTGAATGGGAATGCAGAGTAAACTATTATAGTTCCCTCACCCTTTGAAGTGGTGCATCCAGGTAAAGGGTGAGACACACGGCTTGGGCTGGGGGATGAAGGATGGGGATTACTCTGCAGCCACCCATGTTCTGTGGATGAAAATTTCAGTCATTGCAGGTGTCAATTCAGTATCTTTTGCAATCCATAGTATTTTTTTTTTTAATGAGTTATTACTTAAAGAGTTTTTTTAAAGCACTGCTAGTATTTTATGAAAATTCCACTATGGTGTTACAAAAACAGATTATCTAACCAAGTCCAATAAACTTTGGTACACAAATATGAAAATAGCATTTTACTCCTACACCTCGTCCTCGTGAATTAGTTTAAGGGGAACATTTTTTCCCCCCTTTTCTTCCATGGCTTTATTTAAGAGATTTTGTGCTTCAAATCTACATACTCTGTAGAGCAAGCCTGGGCAAAATAGCTTGTGTTCCTGATGCCCATGTTATGTTTTACACAATAAATGTGATACTGTTGACTCGGTATTATATCAAATAATTGCAAAAAGGAAGATGGAACATACTTACTTTTGTACTTCAAAAAAAAAAAAGGCCAACTCTTCCCTAACGTCAGTGAGTCAGCTGGCTCTGGTGGCCACTGTTTATGTGCTTTTGTATATGTCTGAAGACTCCTGAAAGCCACCAACGGAGTTAGGTAAGAACGAGACCTCATTCTGCCTGATCATTTCTGGCATGTGACAAGATAGAAAAGGCAGGAGGGCTCCTGCAGGCGAACATGTGCATTGCACCAAGGCACACTGTCCCTAATAAAGATAGGGAATTCAGTATGACTGAAAAGTTCTTTCTGGGATCTGCAAAACCCCATATATAAATTTTGATTCTAAACCAAACAAACAGCATCTGGACTGATGGGTACAACTGCCCAGATTTCACTGAAACAAAGAAAGAAAAGAAGTGAACATTACATCTTCAGGCTGTGAATAAATGAAGTAGGGTAAAATGCAAAAGTTTGCAAATACTGCACTGAATCTTTTCTGGAAATAGACTTGATTTTAGCTAAATAAATAAACCCCACAGACCATTAAAATATTTCCTTCCTTTGCAAATACACCTTTACTTCTGGAACAAAGGTGATTATGCCAAAAAGCTATCTTTTGTATAAAGTAAAAAATGTAACCATATATATTGCCCTTTTGTCTTGCATTAAATGCATACATTTACATGTCTAAATGCATTTAAAGCGATTAAAAAAACAGTGATTCCTAGCCAAGTCAAAATTTGTCACTGGTGAACACTGCACTGACCGTAATTTAGTGGAGACGATGACTAGCGATACCTACTATAGTGTTACCTACAAAAAGGGGGAAAGAGGTTTGTCCTTTGTATTTACATACAAAACCACCACTTCTGAAATCTGAACAACTTAAACAGATTTTTTTAAAACAGTTTATTGACCAAATTTCTGACTGACACACATTGCCATTTCTATTAGCTTCACTTCAAGATCAGAAAGTACACACTTAAAAAGGTATTTTTGATGTTTGCAACATGCCTTGGTAAATATTTTCATATTGCAAGAGGAATGCCTGATACAGCGTTGACACATCACGACAGTCACTGAAATGTTTCTCTGGTACTATTGACTACTCTAAGATTTATACTCTACGTGGACTTAGCTTATCCTCTGGAAAAAAAAATCAAACCAAAAGATTTCAGTTCTTAAGTACCCAAGTCCCAGGTCATGCAACAAAATTTCCCTTCGTTTAGGCCTATTCTCAGGCATAGGCTTAACTTTAAGCACTGACTTTAATCAAGAGGTGCTTTACATTAAACATATGATTAAGAAGGATTTTGTTTTGAATCAAGTCCTGGGTTTTGCAATTAGTGTTCTGGGGCAAATAAGATACTTTTATGTGCATTTGATTTTCTGTTCTAAATGTTGACTTTTCCACTGCAGCAACAGCCCAGTGGCATAGTACACGTCAGATTTGATTTATCTCTGGTTGCCATTATTTACTACAGAAACAATGCTCTTTAGCTACAATTCAGCACAGAAAGTGCTAAGCTATATTATATAATGTACCATAAAAAAATACCAAAGACAGTTTTCCCACAAGATACAGTGAGCAGAAGAAAGCATTTTTGTCTTTCTGTACTATTATAACTATACTATCTACCTGAAAACACTAAAGATAATACATGACATTACCATTATATTCAGAGAATGGAATATTTAATTTTGCATGAGTTCTTATAATTACGTATTGTATTAAGACCAATTAAATAACTCCTAAATTATTTCTGATATATGTCAAAATTAGCAACCATAGTCCCCAGTAATACTTTCAAATTCTCCATCAACTACTTGCTCTATAAATGCATGCACGTTCTAGTAGTGTATTCCCAATCTTCCTGATTCACTCTAAGTTAATAATTTTGGTATTTTCCTTAGTAATACCAGTACTGGATTCCCCTGGCTTTTTTTCTTCTTTTCACAAAATTTGCTTATGTATTTGCATGCAGCAATGCTTTCTTCTCCTCAATATTCTTTTCTTCCTCCATGTGGTTTTCAGTTGGGTTTTGTCTGTTTGCTTCAAAATTCACCATTTTATTGCACTCTTCTGAAATCTACTATATAAATCTCTTTAAGCTGACAAGCCTAAAAATGAACATGTCAGTCCGAGAGTCAACCAATGCAGAATTCATTAAAGGTTGGCTACAATGTGACTTAAAATTCTCAGTGCCCTGGGGAGAAAAGCCGTTCCTCCTAAATTGTTCCTAAGTGCCTAACCTCCCAAAAGATTCAAGGCAGAAGACATGTGCAAGTCACCATTTGGTGGCCTTCAGAGATGCCTAAATTAGTCATGGTGGATTTGGCCTGAAATAATTAAATTTACTTGTTCTTACACAGGATAACATGCATTACAGTATTACATCAGCATCACACTGTGTAATCCTATAAAATTTGTCATTTCCTTGACCTTTTCTCTACCACCTCCCTCTCCTAACAGGAATTAGGTGGCATCAGGATCTGGCAGGTATGTCCTCTCTCTTTTTGTAAACGTTTTAATTTTAATTTATAAAGGGCAGTACTTAACATTATTTTTCACGAGTAGCATACACTCAGATTTCAGAGTCCTTTCCAGTTTACCAAGACAATATACTTAATTGTGTCATATAAACATCTGACTTTTGAAACTTCCCTTATTCAAAAAGAGATATTGGCTCCATTTCTATCCATGAATGAGGTTTGCCCATGATCTTTGTCACTTAGGACTACAAGAATGAAATGATTTATATCCACATTATTAAAATTTCTCAGCCATACCAAGCAATATATGGGAGCCATAAAGTGTGATCATATTCAATCTGCTTTCAGGAATGGTTCCTGGCCTGTGTTCTGACACCTGCACCATGTCTAGGACTTGTTAGGGAAGAAAGCTAGCAGCCACAAAGTGCAAGAGAACAGACAATAGCATTCCAGTGCTGGGAAGGATGATGTTTAATAATTAGAAGCAGTGGAGCCATATCGGACATGAAGAATATTGCAAGTACAAAGCACACAGCACTTCACCTCAGGTAGAGCAGAAAAGGCAGTGATTACTGCATCTCATTTGTAAGAACTTCTTTAGACCTCAGTTCCTACCAGTACCCACAGCTGTGTGCAGTGACATTCAATTGTCATCTAAATTCCAGTTCAGAATAGATGGATGTCAAATTAAAGCACAAACAGGCAACTAAAGAAATCAAAAAGTGACAGAATTTTACTCTGACATAAGATGAATCCACAGTATCAACACCTACAAAATTCCTTATGAATAAAGAAAGGTTGCATTCAAGCAGTTTCCTTAATGAATCCTTTTCCAGTGCTGAATGCAGCCATGATGCTGGAGGTGAAAAGATAAAGTCAGAGGACTCAGGTCACTTGCTAAAACAGGAGTCTGTCATCCCCGTAACTTCTTTGGTGAATCTACTCTGCATCCATTTTTTTTCCTTTCTAATCCACATTATTCCTGATTACCTGTGAAAACGTCATGTAAAATAACATCATTTACACATATGAAATAAATTCATGCATATGCAAGAAATACAGATTTACTCCTGCAACTTATTGCAACTCTTGCACAGAATTTTCAGCAGAATTTAGGAAGCAAGTTCTGAAGATTTGCTTCCCCATGTCCGTAATAGTATCTCCAACCAATAAACACCATTATCCTATCGAAGAAAGAAATTAAATTACCTTATGAGAGTTTGGATTTTCAGTGAATCCACACTGACTGCTATCATCACATTTAGTTTATTAGGTACTGAAGTTAAAATTATATTCTAATTGTCTGTACCTCCTACTTCCTGTCTTAGAAGAAGGTACCAAACGCATCATTTTTCACTCTGCTGACATCACCATACTATGTTTCTAAAACAAATTAAATATATTGACAGGTGCTTCCCAGCAGCAGCCATCCTACTGCTAGCGGTGCATTCTCAGTGGCTAGCGTACAAATAGAGCTGTTTACATGCTTGCCAGATAAATAGCAACACCAATCCCTGTAGCAGGCCTGTCCCAACACAATAAATAGATACAGTTCTTTCTTTTACTGGCTATTTGTTGCATTCTTTAAATGGCTTTCCCTACTTTTCCTCCTTTGGCTGAGAAATTAAAAAAGGAACAGTGGATGACACTGGAAAACCAGAGTGATTGTGTGCAGCAAAAGGGCCAGAAACAAGAATAATTTCCTCTGCTGTGCAGGCCAAGGAGTTCCTCAGGTAGATGCAAGCAAAGGGAAAAAGACTTTTCTGAAAACAAACCCAAGATTAGGCACACATTCAATTCTCCAGCTCCTGACTGTCACAGTAAGGAGGTTTGTACATTTAAGAATAGCATTTATTTGTAATGAATAGAATTTGCCTATCAAAAATAACTTTAGTGCCTTTGAAAATTTTAACTGCAAATATCTCACTGGTTTCCAAAGAGACTAATGTCAGTAAGTGGCTAAATTACTTTTGTCACAGGATTTAAATTTGTAGGACAAGAGGCATTTTTGAATCTTAAACCAGCATAACACAGTAATCAAATTTCAAACAATCTTTGGGCTGATCTTTTTCATAAATGACATAAATGAATAAATATC